GGTCGCTGAATACAATCGACAAAAGGTTACCTTTCGAGAGAACAAGTCACTTCTTGAGAAAAACGTACGAAAAACTGATACCACTGCGGTTGCGGCGAAACTCAAGTGTGAGAAATTAGAGTCAGGCAGTCAGCTTCCACGTGCCAACGACTGTATAACATTTAAGATTACTGCGCATCTACTGCGCACGACCACAATTTCTTGCGTTTAGAAAAGTTGAGAAATCTTGCCCCTCTACACAAATTAGGTCTGCTGCGTCGCTCGCTCGCTTCAGGCCCGTTCGCTTCCGCAGCAATAATCTCCGTGCCGTGACCCCTATGGCGCACGTGACGTGATGCGTGATTTACTTTGAAAAAATGTAGTTAATTAATTAATTTGTAACATTTGTGAACAGAGCTACAACAGCTGAATGTGTAGAAAGTACACCGTGCACTTGAGAATACAACAGATAAATAACTATATATTGGCAGGATATTAAGAAATATTTGTCAGGATATGGCTGAAGTACATACACACACTTACAAATTTAAATATTTATGGCTAAGATTAATCAAGCTTGCCAGATCAAGCATTTCTGATTCATTGAAAGATGACGACCTCGACCCTGATGAATGTATTGATCTTCTTCAACTCGGGACAAGAATCGAGATATTCCTTGCAGTTAGACATAAGATTTTGGAGTGCACTAGAAAATGGATGAAAGAATTTGTGAGACAAGGTGGCTTAGGTTATCTTCTTGACGCTTTAGAAGACCTCACAAGTAAACAAACGAAATATGATATCAGTGAAGCATGCGAAATTCTCGAATGTATATCGTGTATAAAGGCTGTTATGAACTCAAAGAATGGTCTCGAGGCGATGGTCGAAAGAAAAGAATGTGCTCAAAAACTAGCTAAAGGTTTGTATAAAATGTACAATAACATGAGTACCAAGGGTCAATGCAGTTATCCAGGCATTCTCACGTTCTGTACAAATATTTGTTTAACCTGTTTCTATAAAATTAATTTGTCAACATTCGCTCACACATACTCCCTGGCTGATCTTATGTTTAACTTTAATCAAACTTTGAATGCGAGTAAATTACAGCAAATTAAGAAAATCTCATAATAATAATATAACATAATTATATAATGCAATTGTCAATTGTACCCCCCCCCCCCAACCTTGGGGGAAATGTGGGGACATAGATTTTTAATATATACATGTTTAACTATTGCCCCACCCCCTGGCTGACAATGACTAATCTTGTCTAATCCCCCAACCCATGGGGACAAAATTTGAAAAAATTACCTGCTCCACTATAAAATTGACTTTAAAGAGATCAGGCTCAGGCTCAACAGGACCATTGAACAGGACAATCTTAGCCTGCGAGCGGGCTCGTATACATTCCTACATAATGTCCCACATGCCAGGGCCAGGGATCCATAAGAAGAAAATTTCCCACCTAGTCAGGGTAACTAAGAGTTAAAAGAGGGAAAACGCCCCACATGTCCCCACCTTCCCCCAATGTCACGTTACATTATTATTCAGCTCACTCCCCATTGGGGTTTTTCAGTGACTGATTACATCAATTATTACGCTTACTTATGTTTCTTATATTTAGTCTAGACTATTTATCTTTACAACAATTGTGATTACTTTCTTAACTGTGTTTATCCTAACCCACCTTGTCAACTTTCCCTGTGGGATGAAACTAGAGCGCCAAGAGAAAACTCACGACTTTCGGCAGAGCGTTGACTGACTCTTTTCACATGAGTCCCTTGTGAGAATTGAACCCACAATCTCAGAGGTGAGGCGCTTGCTCTGATGAGTGCGCCACCATGTTACTCATAATGCCACATTGCAAGCTCCCTTAACAGACTCCCAATTAATTAGAATCATGCTACTGCTAACTTTCACAGAATCTAGTCCTTGTTTGATCCTGGCTTGAAACAATTTTGGAAATGCGGGAAGTTGATTATCCTAATTTGATTCCGGCAATGTCATTGCCATATGCCAGCCATTTTTAACATTGAGAGTCTAAGTAGGTTGCAGGTGGATTAAGGAATGAAAATTAGCCAAACACCATCTTGACTATGTATATTGTATCACTTACCAGACCTGCCTAGTGTCCCACACTTGGTGTGAAAGTCACATATTTAAATATTGGTCCTGCAGACCCACATACATGCCTTAAATTAAGTCACAAATTTCCACATATTTTCTGGGTTGGCATTAGAAGAGGGGTGGAACATATAAAACAAAAGTTATTCCGAATAAGGAGTGCATAATATTAACACACAATTTATTAAAACTATAAACATATCCCCTCATATCCATAACATATCCCCTCCCGAATATGAATTACCGGAACGAAAATAAAAGTGATAATAATACATAAAAATTGAGAGAAAGAATGAGGAAAATGGGTACACACAGCGTAAACATTGGGAAGGTAGGAACATGCAATATTAGAAAAAAAACCTAGGTAAATGCATGACTTGGCAAAATTTCACTTACAGCCCCCCCCCCCTTCCCTCCATTAAAAATATAGAGCTAGCGCTGCCCCTGCATACATTAATTATTTAGTAAAGAAGATTATCTGGATCTTCTTTTCTACGTTTTGTGAAAAACACTTTTAGCACTCCAGCCACTGATCTATTAGATCGGTGACTTGAGCAGGTGTCACGCTATCTGCTGAACTTGACAGGTCTGCTGTATCACCTGATAAATAAGATTAACAAACTTCAAAAGTTTGTACATACCCAGAAACGTGCAAATTGTATACTTCACAAACTACACTAGCATGCGATGTGTTCCCCCAAACTTTTTAACCAGGTGCAGAAAAATAGGCAATCATATTGGCAATATTTGTAGTGGTGAATAGCCTAGATGAATTTTTTGGTTGACACTTTGGACTTTATGTTATAGTTAGGGACCGCTCATTATTTATTGTACATGGGGGATTGAGGAGAAACTGGGGGTGGGCTTTAAATTTTTTTAAAACCTGAAAGGGGGAGCTTTGAAAAAATACAGAGAGACGAAAGAAGGGGGGCTTTGAAAATATTTACCGGTTTGAATAAAACATTACTAGTTTTAAAAATGTATCACAAAACAACTTAACAACAAATAAGGTTTTTAGACCTAATATTTATAAATGGAAGCCAAGTCTCTTATGTTCATGTAAATAGACAATTCCCATTGTAGACTAATTTTAGAACTAGGCAAAGAGATGCAAATCAAGGCCGAATTTTTGTTAAAATAGCGGGGGAGGTGGGAAAAAATGTTAGGGGAAGGTGCAGCAGTCTAGCTCACAACCCCCATGGAAAATTAGGGCTTATTGTAGAACAGGCCAATATCAACAAGATGAGGTATGCATGTAGTGTACATTATGTACTAGTGTATTAATGAATTATGAATGTATGACTCCAATCTTGCCCTTCATTGCAATTGCTACAAAGTTTCTTTCAAAACATTGCATTAACAGTGTACTTGACACAGATATGAATGGCTATCACTGTTTCAATTTTACAGAGAAAACTTTCTTATGTCACGAGTTGTAAATCCTAAGCAACCATCACATTTTCACTTTGTTCTATCATTGAAACTTTCCGCAGGGGAGGTGCATGACCTTTCAGGAGAAGTGCAAAAATTCTCAGGGGAGGTGCAAAACGATCTCAGGGGAGGTGCGCACCTCTCCACACCTCCCCTCAAAATCCGGCCTTGATGCAAATAAATCACCATTGCTAGAAAGAGCATACTAAAATAAGTAAAATATTTCAAAGTTTGGTTGCGAGATGTTGTAAAATACAGAAAATATAGCCTTGCAAAGTTTGCAAATTTTGTATACTTTTGTATTGCATGCGAAAATTGCAATACAAAAGTATACAAAATTTTTGCAACTTTGGAAGGCTATACATTTTCTACATTTTACAACATTTTGCAACCAAACATTGCAATTTTATTAATTTTAGTATGCCCTTCCCGGGAATATACTTTTTTAGTCTATAATGGGAATTGTCTATTGGTCCCCATTATCTATTTGTGTTTATCTAAATAAAGAGCTAGAGTTTTTGTTTCTCTAAATAAGGATAAAGAGCTGGGGGTGGGGGTAGGGGTGGGGGGGGGTTGTTAAAATTTATGTTCTTGTTTTGCCTGTTGGGGGAGGGGGGCTTGGAAAATTTTAATTATCTTAAGAGGGGGGCAACGAAAAAATATTATAACTGTAGAGTTTCTCATCAGTCTCCCCCTGTACAATAAATAATGAGCAGTCCCTTACCCTGGTAGCTGTGGGCTGATTACAGTAAAGTCGATCCCCTATTAAACCCCTCTCCTGTAAGCCATATACAATGTTTCATATTAATTTACAGTCTATGTTTCTTATATCACGTTAAATCCAATTAAGGGCCTACAATAACTTTTTTGGCTACTAGCAAAGAATGTGTAAGTGTCAAAGTCACTAGTCTAGATTTTAATTAGCAAAATTTATCAATATCTGCGCATCTATTTTACACGTATGTATTAATAAAATGCTGACTGTAAGAAATCATAGCTTGCACAGTTCTTCAGTCGTCACTCGTCAAAGACTCGCAAAAAAATCACATTAATTTTATGAAACTTTTAGTTGCTAATTTACCTGTCCGTGAATAAGTCCGACCTCCAGACCTCTAATTAAAGTCTCCATGAATAAGTCAGACCTCCAGACCTCGAAGCCAATAGAAAATGTCTCAAATTGCCTAAAAGACTAAAAACCTACAGGTTTCCTATATGAACCTATAGGTTGGCCTATTGACTTTTTTTGTAAGCCTTACTTCCCACAAATATGCCTGGAATGAATAGCACCGGGCCGGTACGTTGTTGAAAGCTGGATTAGCTTAACCCTATTTAGGTTAACCTAAAATTCAAAGCAAACTTCCTGACATGCAGCTTCTCTATAAATCTGGAAATATTTCTTCAGAGATTTGTCTGAATCCACAGGAGTTTACTTCTCTGAAATTTAATTTTGAAATTAACAGACGTGCAGAAATACACAAACTAGAAGAGCAGGTTAAATTCTAACCCAGGGTTAGCGCTAACCCACCTTTGGCTTTGAACAACCGGGCCCAAGGAGTTTAATAGAGCATTTACAGTAATTACAGAATGATGTTTCTCATGATGAGTGGATGCTCAAATTTTCTGTATCGTTCTTTATCATTCATTAGAGTATCATTTTTGGTATGATATATCTTGTGTCATTACATCATGGTTAGTACAGTACGTAGTTATATAAAAAATGTAAAAACTTGTCAGTGAAAGCTATAATTACGCTGTTAGAGATCCTAGCAGTGTATACTGGAATGTTGCTTCATGATCGTTACAAAGAAATAGAACAGAGTCAACTTCCAAAGGGAAATCACAATTAAGGCTGATAAACTAGTTGACTTGAGATTGCCTTTTGGTAAAAAATGTGGTGATCCAAAGAATTATACCAGTACCCAGCATTTAACAATTATTCGCCGAAGGCGAGGTGATTATCGGGGAATATTCACCAAGACGAAGTCGAGGTGAATATTCCCGATAATCACCGAGCCGCATGAGGCGAATAATTATTTTAGTATTTTTACACAAGTCTTTTGTTTTGTTTTTTCTGAATTTATTTTAATTTCGCTTATTTCTTTATCAGTGAATCTAGTCGTACTGCAGGCTGCTCCATTTACTGTTCGGAGTACTCCCGATTTTCCGAACACAAAAATCAGAACAGTCGTGCCCGTTTTCGGTTCGATTCTATTAGTGTTTACTGTGTTCCGAAAATCTGAAATGTTCCGAATTGTAGATGGAGCAGCCTGCTGGTGGTATAGTGGGACCTCTGACAAAATGATTGTAGATAGGGCAGGTACTGTGCAGTTTCATTGGCAGCATTCAAGCTAGAGGCATATGGGTTAATTTAATTCATGAGTCGCTACCACCTGGCTACTCCATTTATTGTTCGGAGTACTCCACATTTTGGGAACACCAATAGAATCGAAGCGAACACGGTCCCTACTGAAAAACTCGAACGTTAAATGGAGCAGCATGCAGTACATATGCATGCCATCTTGCATTGTCATGTATTTGCTATAAACATTTCTTCAGTTCATAAATTTGACGAAGAACACTAAAGAACGTACCGTGGAAATTTGTTACCATTTTCAACGGATACAAGTCAGCAGCAATGTTAAAAGTAAAATAATCTGGGAGTATTTTGCTCTTTTCAAGGACGATCTATTAAGAAAGTATCCACAAGAAAACGCCCACCATATTTTTGTCATATTCTAGCTAAGAAGTATGCACGGATTTAATGTGAACTCATTCACTGATATAGATGACCAAATTAGAATTCCATGCGTTTGTCTAAATTATGAAAATTAAGTGAAACGTATTTGAAAATTAAAACTGTTAAATCGCGTGGTCGTAACATCACGATTGATGTATATATTAATATCTGCAAAGCTTGGAAAGCCATAAGACTCGAGAGATTTTCAATTTGCAATATGAAAATAGGTATACGTACAGTACTGTAATTATTGTACACGCATCTGCTGACTGCACCGTTGTGTTTGTATATATTGGTGGATTTGAATGGTGGATTAAGTTACTAAAACGAAACATACGCATTACAGGCTGTAGCCCCCCCCCCGAAAAATTGGAGTCGGGCAAATTATAATTTATAAACGTACGTTTGGCAAAATGATGGGGGAAATAAATATGTATGATAATAGTGGAAAATGCAACAGCCTGATGAATAGATTACAAATACAAACCTTGCATGTATTCTGAATGATGTCTATAAGTTATTTACTACGTCTAACACAGTACATACAGAAGTTGACACATTCTATAATTGACTTGATTTTCATGCAAAGTTATCTTACATTAATAATTGAACATATTTTTATACTATACAGTCATGCATCAACTGCTTCATGTCGTGATCATGCATGCGAGGTCAAACGAGAACGCAAGTTATCACAAGTAGATGGTCATGAATTGCTATTGCGTTTAAAAACGCGCAAATGAAGAAAAGTTTAGAATATTTTGCGTTGAGATCTCGCTCCTGCCTGACATAGCGTGATGGCTAGACTCTTTACTTCAGTTACATTATTTATGATTAAATTTCTTTTCAGGTGATAAACACTGAAACTGCGTGTAGAAGTAAAGACTGCATGCATGTATAGACGGCTTTAATCATCATGAAACTCGTGCATTCGCTTTCGTAGCTGAATATACTGTATTCAAGGAAATATATGAAACTATATATGCGCTTGGATTGTCTCTTAAGCCCGCGCCGCACACGAGAGCAACGTGCTGAGCTAGCAGCTAGCTCAGCTATGTATTTTCACCGCACACGTTGGGAAAACTACTCAACAACAACATAATTGACAAAATCATTTGCATTTTACTCCATTTTGTTCCAAGTCACATGAAGAAACCATGGTTTGTCATTGGCTAATTGATTCAAACAGCTCAGCACTTAGCTCACAACATCCGCAGACGCTGAGATTTCCTCGCGAGGCGAAAAATATCAAACACGATAGATATTTTCCTCAAGAGGTCAAATCCTCACGAAAACTATCCGCACACGAGAGCAACTTGCTGAGCTAACTAGCTGCCTCGCGAGGCCGTTAGCTCAGCAAGTTGCTCTCGTGTGCGGCGGGCTTTAAATAGTTGAATTGTTTGCATTGTTATGAATATACTACCATAATCTTCGTTGTGTTTGTTGTTTGTGATTGCATAAACTCAGAGTATAATCTAAAAACATACGTATGCCATATTAAAATTATGCCTATATTGAAATGTTCAAAATGCTTTGTTTTCTGGCTCCCAAGGGAGTTTTGCTCTTGCTTATCTGAAAATTAAATGCATATCTAATAAGTTTGTCTGCATTTCGAAATGATTAACAGTTTTGCGGTAGACCATGTTCAGAGCGACATTGCTAAAAAACTTAAACGAGATTACTACATAAATTTCATGCTGTTCAAGCTTCGGAATACAACTTTATTTGTAAACAGAGTGAACAAGAATCAATCAAGCTGGCTCCGTCCGCCAAACATCCACAACAGTACTCAGAGAGTTCAGAAGCATGGAAGACAACATTTCTCAGACTTCGTGGTTTGGGCATAATTTTGTCCACGTTAGAAACTCTTGGTTCAGGAAAAGTCAACTCAATTCTTGATAATCATGAAAGTGCTGAGTTTATTTCTAGTTTTACGTCCATGATAAACTCTCTTGGGCTGGATAATATACTCAGTGAACGAGGGATTCTATCAGGTTTAGTCAAAGGTTGGGCACTTATATGTACTAACTTTTCTGTTTGTATATTTAAAATTATCAGTTGATTTAGCTAAAATAAATGTCTTGTTCCAACAATTTTGGCTTTCCAAATGTCGTTCACAAACTATTGTATGTCTTGTGTTGTCAGGCGTTATGCAACGTTTGTACAAATTGAGGATAATATAGTCTAACGTACATTATTGCATGCATGCACATGGAATGTGTGTGTATGCCATTGACAGTGTTTTCTGCACAACCCATGAGCATGATGCATAATCATATCGCTCCGTTCAAGCACTAGATAAAATTTAAGAAAGTGAATAATATGTTTTCTCCATTAAATTATTTGTTAACTTGATGTTATACCAGAACGGATTGGAGTTCTCAGTGCCGTATTTTACCATAATTTACTGAACTTCTTGGCAAATATAGACGCGTAAATCCTCTTCAGTTATTTCGCACCGCCATGAATTGTGTGAACATAGTCTCTGAGTCAATAATATAATATAAATAATAGTTTTGATACCTCAAGAGACAAGGTAGTTCTACAGCTGGGATTTAAATCGCCACCCCATGCACTTTTATATTTAAACTAATCTGTTGCGCTGAATTGTAGAAAATTGCCGATTCTTGCATGGTTTTAAACCTGAATAGCATGCCATTGTGACTGTATGTGGCATCATATTTTACGATAATGCGAATTTTCCCACCTGTCATCACATTCTACAAGTGAAGAAATAAATTTTTGTTGTGATTTTCAGCTAGTACTGAACTCATGGATAATGTGATGCTATTTTCTGCTCAAATAACAACTAAAATATGACCACGGGATGTAAGTTTAAAACAGATGTTGCAATGGTTTCTGATTCATGTATGAATATATGCGGGTTGAAACATGCTCTTGAAGAAAATGATTCATAAATGTCTGTTACATTAGATACTTCGAAGATGCATACGTATACTGAACTATAACTACAATTAGTATGACTAGCTATCATTACAAGTTACGTTGTCTATGCATAGCAGTTTGAATGGCTACGAAGTTTGTGGCCAGCACGCGAAACACAGTATATCGCAGTAAATGGGTCGCTGTTGTTAACAAACGTATTGAATCAAATCGTAACGGGGAAAATGATATCAATTGTGGAAAAGATCCAAAGTACCTGGCACGTTCCTTACAAAATCCAAGTGTTTCAAACTACTTTGGTTTAAGATCAAAACTTCGCGGGGCTTCTGCCATGTGGGTGCTGTCATTCCTAGAACATGGCGGACTTGATTCATTATTTCAGGCTCTAGAGAATCTTGGTAAACGAGAACATACTGCTGGTGTTGTGAATGCATTCTTGCAACTAGAGTGTGTGTTTTGTATCCGCAGTGTTCTGAATACAAAAACTGGCATGGATTTTATTTTGGAAAACAGGGAGTTATCTCGTCTCCTCACACAAGGTTTACAACAGATTCATATTAATTATATTGAAAGTTGATGACAAATAACACCCTTTTTTAATTAGTTTCTGTCTCATTGTGTAGAAGAAAAAACTTCCTTGAAAAAGCAATATCGTCTTACAGTATACATGTGCCAGAATCGTTAACTTGACATGTGCTGTTATAATATCATTCCTCCATATATATAATCGTATAAAGGTTTATACGACACAATCCTAGCTTTATGAAATCGTAAAGGCTTGCAACGCCAACAAGATTTCTGTTCTATGAAAGGATGCAGTGACGTATAATTTGTATATATGATAACATAATTGTTCATGTACTAATTAAGTAGGCCTACTCAAGTTATTTTTAAACATGCCTGTTGCCGAGGATAGCTTTATTTAGCGAAAATATCAGGCATTTCAAATATTGAAGCAAGTAAGGATTTCTTATTTATCCTGTAAAAATTACATTCATGCATGCTGCTGAGACTTGCATATATATAATTGAAGGGATTGAATTCTGCAATTAAAATAAGCTGTCTTGAATTCGGACTGTAATCACGTACGCAATGGCTAGTGTGCGTTCGACTTTTGTCGGTATTCCTCAGTGTATAGGGGCGACAGATTTTTGGACCTCAGTCAAGGATAAAGCGCAGCCCATGCATGCGTATGTGAGTGTCTAAATGTATAAAGTAATGTTTCCTTATGTGAAACAGTATGTAAAATAAAAGTATATAAGCCTATACAAGAAGCTGTAGTAACACAACAATTAATTTAACTAATTTAAACAAATTGTTGAGGGAAATATTTTGCACAACAATCGTTAAGGTGAAAATTTATCCGCGCTCACTTTCCTGAAAGGATATATTTAAGACGTTTGGTTCAATGAAAATTTTTGACAATTGTTCTCAAGATATTTTGGTTACCTGGCTAGTTTGCCCTCGTGTTCCTGGAATCATGATAGCTCAGAAGTCAGGTGAATTTCTGCGAAAGCAAATAGTCCAAACCTGTCCTCCAGAGTCTCCAGGCTTGGTTCGGCCCTGCGTCAGCAATATTTCGCAAACTAATTTTCGACATGACTACCTGCGGTTTTCTTGTCATAATATTATATTATCATAACCAGGGAAAAAAAAGTTTTTGCGTAAATTTATGTCGTCACAAGCAAATTTTTATGCATTAGCATGCAGGCGCTAGACCATATCACATGAAGTGAATATGATTATAACGCCACTAAAATAGTAAATCATTCACTTAAAAGTAAAAGTTCTATGTACTTTGTCTGACTTATTTCAATTTTATTTTTTCAGCTTTAGACACAGATAATGTGATGCTGAAGAAGCAAGTATTTGAACTCCTGTCTGCTCTCTGTGTTTATTCTGAAATGGGATACAAAATGGCAGTTGATGCTCTGTCGCACTACAAGGTGATTATTACAATAATTCGGGGGCGCAGTTGGCGCACATCGTTTATTTGCTCGCGGGCGGTGCAGGCTAGGCCTTCGTTGGCGCAGTCCTCAGAGCAAGCGTCTTTCGCCTATGAGATCGTGGGTTCGATTGTCTCGTTGCTCATGTGAAGAGCGTCAGTCAACGCTCTGCCGAAAGTCGCGGGGTGCTTCGGTTTCCTCCCACAGGGAAAGTTGACAGGGTGGGTTAGGATAAACACAGTTAAGAAAGTAATATCATAATTGCTGTAAAAATAAATAGTCTAGGCTTAGTATGTAATTAGATAAGCGTATTACTTGGTATAAAGTCATGCGCAATCTGATCATTGCCACATGCAAAATTTGCGCTACCTTGCCTTGAGCAATTCCGCGAGAAGGCTTGGGTCTAGGCTGCACGTTATTGATTTCTCAATAGGTAGTGTGCAAGTTACGTCACCGTCGCCATGTTGGATGACATTGACAAAGGATTTATTTGCTTGTCTGCAATGCAAATATCATCCAACATGGCGAAAATCTCTTTGTCTTTGAATCCCATGGGAGTGGTCTCACATCACCTATATTGGAACAGCCATGCATTGTGGTTTACCCATACTTACTGATCCTGTTATGAGATAAAATTGCTTTTGAAAAATGGACGTTTTTTCAGGTTGTGCAAAATGATAAGTGTTTGACGATGTTGGACTCGTTTCTACGGGGCTTTAAGGCCCACACTCGAGAATAATTTCCAACGTTTCTCGAAAATATTATTTTCAACTTAAAAATCTTTTTCCGACGGAAAATTTGTGTGGGCCAATCATATTTTACAAAATTCTTTCTGCTGAAAATTTTCCTGAGTGAAAATGGGCCTTTAGTGGACATACTAAAGCAACGATGTTGGACAATATATGTTGGATGAGTATTTAAAATCAATTCAACATTACCCAACACAGTGTTTGAAAGGAAGCCAATAATGGTGAAAATCCAACAATGTTAGATAATGTTGAACCAACATGTTGACCTCGTTTGAACGGGCCTTATTAAGATGTCTAACTAAGGTGATATTTTACACACTAATTTTCTTATTTTTTCAGTCAGCGAAGGGTCAACGTTATCGCTTTAGTGTCATTGTGAACGAGCTAAAGAATGCAGAAAGTGCTTCTTATAAAGCGACGTGTCTTGCTTTTATCAATTCAATTATTATTGCTAGTGAGCAATTTGACGAGAGAGTTCGAATTAGAAATGAATTTATTGGTGAGTTTTACATGACAATATTGAATAATATATTTTTCGTATTGTGGTATTTTTATTTCAGAGACAAGGTATCATTTATTGCAAATACCAAGTTTTTGTTGATAATTCTGTATCTCATTTTTAATTGAATTTTCTTGTTTTATACGTAGGTCTGCAGCTTCTGGATATTTTAAATGAAATTCGGTAAGTACCACCGTTTGCATTTGCTGTATTTTACTTACTGAGAAGGAATTTCATTAATCTTTATTTCGATTTGTAATTAATTGTAATCTATTTGGGCATTGCTCTGCACGGCCACATTTTACTATTTAATAAATAAAGTGATTAAACGAAACAAAACATAAATCTTCTTTTGTTTAACGGTTAATTTAACGCACATTATGCTTGGCATTGATATTTATAATAAGATTATAATTCCTGGTTCATCCATCGCAACTATTTTGAAAAACATAAGTAGAGATTTCTGTGCACTGGATAAGTGAAACAAATTTGTTGTATCCCCACGACAGACGATATTTTTCAGATGTGAAATTTATCGTCTCCGTCTCATTCATTTTTCTCGCATATGGACAGTTATCGGATATGCAAAATCACCCATAAATTTGCTGAGCTTAATGAAAGGGGCGTTGTCTTGATGACTTGATCAGTTTGTGGACTGCAACCCCACCAATTGAGGTACTGCGCAAACGCATGATGTTTATATAGCCAATTTCTGAAATTGCACAAAATATTTTTGTGACGACGAAACGCTAGATTGCCTAGATATTCCCTATGCATTAATAGAATAAATAGGTTAGGAAACTCGATTAAGTCATAATAGACCTCATTATATATGTTTTTGTCTTGGTTTGTGCAAACAATGGTCGGTTCATCGTCATGTGTGTGTATGTTTTATTTGTCCAACCAACCAATAGCAGTGTGTTGGCTTGATTACCAAGTCCGTGATATTACACATGGTAGTTGTATAAGTCGAAGAGTCCTGAAGATACTGAAAATTTAAATTGTTACGTCGTGAATCCAAGATTCTGATCGCTAGAAAAAGGAAAGATCATGCAAATAAGCTACGAGAGTCACACGTCGAAAGCCCTAAACGTTTTTGGTCAATCGTGAAATCCTCAACTATCTTGCGAACAGACATCAAAGAGTTGTTCTTGATGGCGTTTTCTCTGACTGGCTACCATCTGGTTACCAATTACGTCGGGTGTGCCCCAAGGTCCCATAATTCGCCCTCTCATGTTTCTTGTCTAAGTTAATGATGTCCTAAGCTACATCCATATCCAATCCACGATTGCTATTTTTGCCAATGACTCCAAACTATATACAAATCCATTGACCTTCCTCAAGCAACCACCTCCACATCGACCTTGATAGCTTAGATAAATGGAGTCTTGACTGGGCAGTGGAATTTAACAAATTCAAATGTCACGTGCACGTATCTCGCGAAAGACAGCAAAAAACATAATGCACTAAAACCTGGACAGTCAACAACTAGATTGTGTCCCACACGCCAAAGATTCTGGAGTGACCATGTCGAGTGATCTGTCTTGGTCGAAACTCTGCATGGGACTAATTAAGTGGACTTTCAAGGATTCTACTGATACAAAAGTTTAAAATTACTATACTGTGCCCTCGTGAGGCTGATATTAGAACATGCCAGCAATATATGGTCTGTCATGTCTGCATCGAGTTTCCTAACCATCTTATTCTATTGACTATGCTCAGCAGTACGAAAATGGTTAAGAAAAGATTTTTGAATCCTGAATATTTTCATGTTTTAGCCATACTGATGACAACGAATTAAGGATTCAATTAGATGTATTTGAAGATGAACGGTTAAAAGATGAAGATGACTATACAACACCTGAAGGAATTGATTTAAACAGTCATGTTGACATCTTTCATGCCTTGTTGAAACAGGTAAACAACAGTGCACAGTACGATTACGATTACAGAACCTCGGAAAAGTATATGTTTAAGAAACGGTAACCTGCAATGCTAGAAATTGATTTTAAAAATAAGTTTTTTGACTGCATGTTTTTGCTGAAGATTGTATTGTACACTGTCGTACCCAGGTTCTTTTCTACTCAAAATGTTATCGTGGACATTGTTTTCACACAGCCAATGAAAGGAAATTTTAAAAGATATGTAGACCAAATAACTCAAACTGTTATAGCGCTTCTAATCTGTTATACCGCTTAAAATCGCGCGTTGTGGAATCGTGTCCGATGTGTCTCGCCTTTAATTATAAGACGCCTTGAATCTCTTGTGTGTTTAATCCTAGATTGCACGGACAACCATAGTCGATGTAATAAGGAGGTTTGGAAACTCGAAGCAGACATAATAGACCTCATTATCTGTGTTTTTGTCTTGGTTTATGCAAAGAATGGTCGGTTCATCGTCACATTTTTATGGGTTTTTTGCGTAACCAACCAATAGCAGTGTGCTGATTTAATTACCCAGTCGTGATATTACACAATAGTTAAATGAGATAGTTATTGGTTGCTTAGCGAAAAAACAATACACATGTGACGATGAACGGACCATTTCTTTCATAAACCAAGACAAAAAAACATTGATAATGAGTTCTATTATGTCTGCATCGAGTTTTCTAACCTTATTATTGACTATCACGAGATAACCAATGATTTTTCCTCTATTTAGATAAGCAACAAACCTTACGCCACGAATTTCTTGCACATTTTACAAAGTCTCCTTGCACTCACTGAAGAAGATAACTTAGTAGACGTAATTTGGGAAACAATTGAGAAGTTTGTGAAACGATGTTCGAACATGAAGAGACAAGAACAGGGAGGATTCTTATTAAATTCTGAACTGGAACTACTTAAATCAAAGATTTCAAAACAATCCAAGGAAGAAAATAATATGATGGAAATATCTTCAACTCCTATACCAGCCATGCCACCTCCAGGATTGACTTCAACACCTGCCACACCCGCCCCCCAAGCAGCTCCCCCTCCCCCTCCACCACCTCCACCTCTAGGAGGATCATTCTCGTCGCCATTTCCTGGAAGTCCTGCACCGCCTCCTCCCCCTCCCCCTCCCGCTTTACCTGGCTCTGCCATTCCACCACCACCCTTCCCGCCTCCTTTTCCTGGTTCTGCAGGACCACTACCTCCACCACCACCTCCTTTGCCTGGATCTGCAGGTCAGCCCATGGCTTTCCCCTTCCCTGGCTCAGGAATTCCTCCACCTCCACCGTTACCTGGCTCAGCAATTCCACCCCCACCCCCGTTGCCTGGATCTGCAGGCCCACCCCCTCCCCCACCGTTACCTGGTTCAACAGGGCTACGTATCCCAGGTTCTGTTGGTACTCCTATTCCTCCTCCTTTTTTTTCAGCATCATTCAACACTCCTCTAGGCCAGAGCCCGGCGATGTCAGTGTCTCCATATACATCTGTGATTCCGTTAACTAAGGCGAAAAGTAAGATGAGGAAATTCCAGTGGGTTAAAATTCCTCCAAATATAGTATCGAGAAATAAAAACTGTGTCTGGGTTCGAATATGGAACTTCCCGCCATTACAGGCGAACTTTGAACTTGAAGAGGAACTGTTTAAACAAAAACAAGTGGAAAAGAAAAAGAAGACGGAAAATAAGAAAGCAAAAACTGAGGTTGGAAAAACAATAATTTCTGTTTGTTAGACTAACGTTATTGTAATATTAATGCAGCTCTGTTTATGTACACGTGTGTAAATATATATACAGGTTTGCTCCTTAGCTATAAACTCGGAATAAGGGTGCGTGCATGCATATGTAAAGGTACAGCAAATCACGTGCAAATAGACAAAAAACGATTTCTCCAACAAGGGAATGTTAACTACAAAGACAAAAAGTATCGTTTCAGGTAAATAGTTAATTTGTGCATTGATCTTCGCTCAAAACATCGGGCTCTTGTTCTTTGAACATGGCAGAAATAGACCCAACGCCGCCAATATTTATTTAAATACCTCCTTTTCGAGTTCGTATTTGAAATACATCAGTGAGCTTAATCAAGCAAGCGACGTTTTTGTCAATACGGACGTCACCTGAAAATTGGTATGACTAATTTTGGCGGATTTTTGCATCATAGCGCTCGTGTAAGGAAGCAACAAACTTTAAAATCGTACGTTTTGTCATATGTATTGAAGATTACCACAAACTGATACAAACACAGTTTTTAATCCAGCCCCCACCCCTCGATAATCTGACGTCCGTGTTGACGTCGCTTGCTTTAGTACCCTATTATCAGTGAAGATCCACAACTTTAGAGTGACAGCCGACAGACAATATTTTTAATCATGTTTTTAAATTAAAAACTAACTAAATTTGAATCAATGTTGATATGTATTTACTTGATTACTTCATGCGTTTTATGCTTTTACAGATAACATTCTTGGACTCAAAACAGAGTTTGAATATCAACATTTTTCTGAAGCATTTTAAAATGTGAGTAATAATTCTTCAACGTTCATAAGTTGTGTTTCAATCGTGAGACTGAAAATATAATTGTTAACAACGAATTTATTATTTAGGCCCATTGACGCTATTGTACAGATAATCAGACAATGTGATATTGAAAAATTTGGAGTGGAAGACTTGAAAAGCTTGTTGAAATTTGTTCCAGATAAAACCATAGTAAGTATTTCAACAAAAATTATAGGGATCAGTACATTTACAGAGGTGGGCAGTCCTCTTACTTTAAACACTTGAAACGGTGCAAATTTCATGAATATTAAAGCTAATATTTTAGGATATGGAAAACTTCGTATTTGAAACAAAATATAATGAAGTCATGGTTTGAAGATATCCATGCCTTAACTGTTTCTTTTTCTCAGAGGACAGGGTTATCTAGATTAATGTTTATTAATATTTGCGGCCATTGGAAGCTGGTATGACCGTCCAGGCAATCTTGTTTTTCAAAGGTTTTCAGTCACGCCTACAAGGTCTTACAAGATTCTTCTATAGCCCTTCAACAGCAGTTTGTTCCCTGGTCCATGCCATGGGGTTGTTTCCACTAAAAATCTGCCATCGGTTGATGGTCGTGACCCCGCTTTATAACAAGCACTTGCTGATCAACTGTCCACTTCCTTGATCCATCCCTGCAAAATGGGCTACACCCTTTTATAATTAGTGTAACAGTTATTAATTGTCTGTAGACATTCGACTAGATCTGTGCATGGGTATGCCAGATGTAAAACAAAAGTTTTTATTTGCATCAAATTCAAATTCAAATTCAAATTTATTTCACACGTTTACAAAAGATATAGTTAGACATTAATTACATCACAAAAAAATCATAATGGAAGGGGAAAAAAAGGGAGGAGTTAATTATGGTATTGTATCGTGTACAGTGGCCAAAGTAGCTGCGAAGCTTTCGAGTTGGCCACCGAGTTGGCCACCGCATCATTCCCTAACGTACTTACTGTCAAATGGAATAAATGGATAAAACACAACAACACCAAAATGAGGTTTTTTTGAGAAAGATGAAGACCAACTTCGTAAAAGAAAATCGCTGTAACTTATGTATAAAAGTAACGTCCGTAAGGAAGCAAGGTTCACCTAATTACTCGTAAATGGATGTTTATTACCTCCGCCACAGATTAAGTATATACCAGTTGTGTAACTTAATATGATTTCGTGTCCTCAAATTTCCCTAGATGTACGCGTCATGCTCACGCCATGACACTTGCTAGGAAGTTGGTGTCCTGGAAAACACGAACTTTTACATTTTATATGGATTAAACAATCAAGAGCATCATTTGTTGACATTGCCCAAGGATAAATTGATTAAATGTTGCTTAAATTTGGATGAAAATTGCATGAGAAATTAGCCAAAGTTTGTCTTGCTGTGCCGGGCAGAATAAACTGAATGCCTGATTAGCCCATTGTATAATTTACGCATGATAACTTAATTTGCTGGCGGGCGTGTGCAGTCTTCGAGTGCCCCCTAGTTAAAGTGCGTTCAAATTGACCTTGTTAGCACGTGAAGATTTCAAACCATTGGGAACGCGATTAGTGAGTGTTGTGTATAAAAATAATTATCGCTTATTTACGGAGACCGAGGGAAACAGCATGTTTTGTGGCCCCTAGACCGATCTGACACTTGATCTGACACTTGCTATATAATCAAATAATGTTATTGCTTAGCAACTGGTGCGCATTGTCACTCCGTGGGAACTAATTTTAGTTTCTCTGTTGATTTCAGGTTCAAACACTGAAGGATTTTAATGATGATAAAGAAAAGTTAGGATCAGCAGAAAGATTTCTTCATGGATTAATATCAGTTCCATACTACGAGACTCGTATTAACAGCATGTTATTGAAAACTGAGTTTGCAGAGGCAATGCAATTTATTAAACCTGGTCTCAATGCACTGGTCAAGGCTACATCAGGTATGTTTTACTATGTTATAATTGCGGCGCCTAAATGAAGTTTGGCATATATTTGCTGCACGAGTTTGCTAATCTGTTTATAGGTTGTTAGTTTCGTTGGCAGTGTGACCAGGTTTTTTCCATGCAATCAGATGACAAAAAATTACCAAAACGGGCAAAAAATTACCAAAACCCACCCGACCCCCGACTTCCTGCAAGCCAATTCTACATCCCCCAGTCGCTAGTGTGACTCGTGAGGCCACTTTTGTAATTTTAAGTTTTAATACCTGGAAAGACTGCTCGGAAGGTCGTAATTCGCTTTAACGAAATCATTAGTTATTAATTCACCTGCTTTATCACGTGTCTCGCAGATAGTGAATCGCAGGCTCGGGTTACGAGATTGTGCATTAGGAGGTAGCATTAGTACCACTTTCTCTAAAGCTTTTTTGTATTTATTAGATATTTTGGAAAGCGAAGTCCTACCTGAGGTTCTACAAGTCATATTGACTATAGGGAATTTTCTTAATGGAGTAAGTAGTAATTTTGTTGATACAACTTTAGTGAGAAAAAATTTTGTATTCGAATTCACAACAATGAAGCATGCTATCATATGGCATTCATTGCGTTGCATGCGTACGTATATAAGTGTAACATGTACATACACCAACACAGAAAAAAATTCATGTACATATCGTATAATTTTTTCTGTTGATTATAGCAAATGTCCCTGATCTGCTCTCGAATTTTCCCAGCCATCATCTCGGTCTGGGTAAAATTCTACTTCATTCTTGGTTCATGAAAGTGTTCCTAAAATAGAAGGATTTTGTCGATGGAAATTTCGTGTGTGAATTATATACATTTACGAGGCCTAACTATGGGAGCAGTTGTATGATTGAATACCCAAACACCTTACATTAGCATCACCTTATAGTTGCATTTTGCACAACTACTCCTGCCCAAAATTCTGATATGTTTCTAAAGTATTCTATCAATTCATTTGCTTACATGAACCATTTCATTTGAGACATTTGATCGAATAACACACAACTCCATTTCTGGTTACCTTACAGTGCATGCATGCTAACTGCATTTACGATATTTCTACAATGGATTTACATAAAAAGACACAAAACAACGCACGCATAATACGCGTGCACCTTTTATACAATATTTTGCGGCATGGTCTACTTTCAAGACCCCGTTGAATATAAAAGAAATCCATTAGATAAATAATGATTACAAGCAAACAGGTCCAAGATGCATGTAGAGGTCCTATTACCTATTCCAAAATTAAAATGAAAAAACAAAATTAACACAACTATATATATACTGTATCTTCCATATGATATACCGTCCGCTAACATACTTCACAAGCATGGTCAACCCAAGACTCTGTGAGGTTTGCTATAGCCCCAATACACAGTCACGTCATTATTCAATGTTTCATTAAAAATCACAACATCTCTCCAATACCATCCATTTATCTCCTTAATGTAATTTTGTTGAACTAATGGGATAGTTTGTCCGAGGCCATTCCGCATGCCGTTCGACCCATGTTCGCCTTTCTCTACAGTCAGTTTTAATGATATCGACCCAATATATTACCTATTCATACCACGTTGAAACGGGGAACTGGCTCGGACTGCTTCGAACTGCTTTGGGCAATCGATCCCTACTATATATATATTACTTAAAAGTATTAACCTATATAGTATATACTACGTAATGACTGCCATACTGTGCAGTCAAAAAAATGTTTGTCAGACCCTGGGCGCCATTTTGCAAAACATCTGGGATGATTAGTCTAAGACATCTATTTTAAATAAGGTTTACCCTTGTGGCATAATTAAATGTTCTGCCAGATTCTATAAACCGCATTTTTGTGGATTGTACAATATCTACTTATTCTACCATCAATAGTTAGATACATGACACAAACCATAGGACTGACTCATGACATATCTCACGCCATGGTTTTCTTTCAAGACCCTGTGAGTATGTACATAATCTAACTGCATCCATACTTAAATACTAAGGAATAAACTTACAATCCTCACATAGACCTAACCACATTTGATGGACAGATTACGGAATACACAGTGAACAACAAGGACTAAGTTTACAATATCAAACTGCATGGTCTTCTTTCCAGACCCTGTGAAGATATATTTAAGAAAACCATTTACTCAAATGAGATACAGGAAAATTACACAACACAAAATCACAAGTCTTGTTACCAATTCCTAATTTACAACATCGCTGTATGGTCAAATCCGACCCTGTGATAAATTCATGTGCATCATCAAATTACACCTATCAATTACCAAGTAAGTTTACATACAGTACATGCTAACTTCAATTACGATATTTCTACAATGGAATGACATAAAGAGACACAAAACAACGCGTGCACTTTTTATACAATATTTCACGGCATGGTCTATAACAGAAATCCATTAGATAAATAATGATTATTAGTACACCACAGGTCCAAGACGCATGTAGAGGTCCTATTATCAATCCCAAAATTAAAACAATTGCACCAAAACCAAAGGTGATTGGTGCATTCATACAGGAAGATTATCAATCATCGGGAAGTTCCAAATTTGGAAAAAAAAAGAAAAACGTTTTTAAAGAAATTATCAAAAGAAACGGTTCAAGACGAACAAATTTTCTATCTAATGACAAGTTTTCATATAGTAAATTTTATTTGTCAGTTGTGTATAGAACAAATCTTCTATGACACGTTTTTGACCGCCACGATGGATATCAATAGCAATTTATTACTACAATAACTCGCCGACTAACCGCATGCAAGTGCTGCTTTGTTGACCCCTACAGACGAGTTTAAATTTTGTATTTCGCCATGTTTTTCTATGACATGTGCACTTGTTCAAAATCTATAGCATGCTAGCAGCTAAACAAGTGTCTAAACTTGCAGCAAACTACTGTAGCAGCTAAACTTGTCACAACAAAAATTGGCAAAGTTGTCTGTACAGACGAGCAAATAAAACTTTTCAAATGAAAACTTGCTCGTACCGCTTGAGTAAATAAATTATTAGAATATTTTAGTAGGAACACTTCCATTGCCACGACTGTAACACATTGTAAACTTATTCCCACTTTCCCTTCTTTACTACCTCCTCCAGGATGGTCATGCGGGAAATGCGATTGCATTCAAGATCAGTTCATTATTGAAACTTACGGATACCAAAGCCAATAAACCAAGGATGAATCTTATGCATTTCTTGGTTGAAGTAAGTGTGGCGCGTAATCTCTCTTTCCGCCGAAGCGTGGAGAAACCGACAAAACTGGGGGAGGATAATAAAAGAGTTATTTTTTTATTATTTATTATTATTTTGAATTAAAACTACCATGCAGAAGGACACGTGGAAAACGCGCATAGCTGTGATGAAACACTTAAAGTGCCACTAACCTCAATTATTTTATCATCTCATTCTTACGAACTTCTGAAATGATATAATAACTTATTTTGAACATTTTCGTTTGCTCACTTTGTTTGTTTGGTATGCAAATATCCGGAATTTACGTCACAAATGCATAATGATTTAAAGTAAAAGCTTGTATATCTTATTCACTGTCGAGTTTAATTCATTAAAATGAAGTTTGGAGTTGTGGGAGGATTAAATATACTTATGTAAAACACCATTTAGACTTTTTATTTCATGATATTTAACTGTACCTTACATTCTTTAATCAGCCATTATTCATATGTGACGTAAATTCCGGACATTTGCACATCAATAAAACTGAAATAACTCAGAGACAAAGTGAACAAACGAGAATCTTCAAAATAAGCTATTATATTATTTCAAAGCTAAGCTTCTTAAGATTGAGATGATAAAAATAATTGAGGTTAGGTGCACTTTAATTGCATGCATGCTTGTTGTAATAATTCGTGCAAATACGGTTGGAAACCTTTTTTGAATCATGTAATGGAAATGTTAATATTCCGTTAAACTTGAGAAATTCAACGTTTCGAGCGAAGGCCTAAGTCAGGACTTGGCGACGAAAGGCCTTCGTTCGGAACGTCGAAGTTCTCCTTGTATTTTTCAGGTAGTTGTATCCCTATCAATCCGAAGCTTCCGTTAAACTTGCATCTTCGACAATGTTTTCACTCTATATTTCAGGTTGCTGAAGCAAAACGAGCCGAAGTTATGTCTTTCCCTAGAGCAATGGCACATTTAAATATGGCTTCAAAGTATGCATTATGATCTATTTTCGAAATAATGTATATGCATGGATATATAATTTGTTTCTCTAATTTTCGCATCTTTTTTGCTTAGCGAAATTCAATCTAGCACGTAGGGCTTGTTCATAATATAGATTAGCCTTTCCCCAAAAGAGATCACAGTGCATTCTGGCATCGTTTGGAGGGACAAAATATATAGTGACAGGCGTCAAATATGTGTTAGAGTAGAAGTATCTACTATCAAATATCAACATTTTAGACGACCAAAAATGAAATATCTCCTTTTTACATTAAACATTTAATTTAAATGTGTGCATGCTGCCATATTTCTTGCCCCTCCAACATGGGATTCGCGCGACTAGACCCAGGACTTTGGGAAATGGCTAATTGTTGTCTCCTTGTTAGAGTATCCATAGATTCTTTATCCGCTGATGCTCGAGAATGGAGTGAAAGAATTGTAAATGTTCGAAAGAATGTGAAAAAAGCAGACGACGATCTTAAGAACCTCATGAGCACTTTCTTAAAGGTAGAGTTTTTTCTGAACGCTTTGACCAATAGTAGACTGTACTTTATTTAGTTCTTGTATAGTAGCTTCTCATTCTTCTTCACTTCATGTGCATGCCATTGAATGCCAGCGGGTTTAGCCGCAGGTTTAGATTCCCATGCCCAGGCATTCCGAGGGGAAAGGAATTAAGCATATCGATCGCTTGCAGTGTATGTGCACCAAAACGTTTCTTGTGCGATATTGTCAGTTTATAAGGACAATTGACTAAGAATTCCATGTATATAATGGAAGACCACTGCATGTAATTGGTGATAGCTGTTAGTGTTGCGGTTACCCAGCCATTGACTCTTGTGTATAATTATAATTATAATCCAATTTTGTAATTTTTCATCCGCCTCAGAAAAAGGTTAATTACTCTATTAGCCTTCTAATTAATAACAATATTTTAAGGCAAGAAAATAGCATTAAATATTTAGGTATAATTATGGATACTAATTTGAACTGGAAAGAGCATGTTCATGAGCTATGTAAAAAGATATCACGAGGAATTGGTATACTATCGAAACTTCGTCATTTTGTCACAAAAAAGATACTACTATACTATACTCAAGTTTATTATTCAATAATTTATCCGTATCTTACTTATGGCGCTTTGATATGGGGAAATACATATTGGACTAATATCAAGCCCTTGTATATCCTGCAAAAGAAAGCTATCCGCATAATGAATTTCCTATTTTACCAGGCACATACAGCTCCTTATTTTAAGAAAGACAAATTATTAAAATTTGCAGATATTGTTAAGTTCTATACGCACTGTTTATGCATCAGTTTTATCGAGGCAGACTTCCGGTTGCTTTTGACAACTTCTTCGTTTTAAATCATATGAAACATAATTACGATACACGGCTTGCATCAAAGTGTTCATACGCAGTTTACATTTAGTTCGTACAAACTATGGAGTTTTTAATATTAACTTTTCGGGCCCTAAAATTTGGAATGATATTGATGAGGCGCTAAAAATATTGAGTATAAGTTTAGTTAAAAAGAAATTAAAACAAAGTATAATTGAGCTATATTAATTTGAATATTTGGTTGCTTGATTGCTTAATTCGGATCATATTTATGTTTACTTTTAATTTTCAATTTTGCCATGGGGCCATTCACAAAGGATGTCCGAGCCGAGGGGGGGGGAGGGGGGTTTGGAAAATCAGGACAAACTCGGACATAGGGGGGGAGGGGGGTTTTAGCAATCCGGATGTCCGAAATTTAAAAAAATTCAAAAACAAATTTCTTTTTCCCTATATTTTGAGCAGTCCTTCCCATTGTGAAATTGGCATTTTGACTATGCGGTTAACACTAGATTTTGTTTTAATTAGTAATTTATATGTTTTTGTGTTCACATTTACAGTTATAAAAAAGTTCTAAAAGTAAAAACGTTTTTTACTCTTGATATATACAAGGTTGCGTGAGTTTTTGCGAGGCATGGCGGATGTCCGGGGGGAGGGGGGGGGTCACTAATTCGGACAATGCCGGACAAGGGGGGGGAGTGGGGGTCTGAAAATCCATCATTTGGCCGGACATCCTTTGTGAATGGCCCCCATCTTGTAACACATTTATTGCTGCGGAGCGAGCGAGCCTGAAGCGAGCGAGCGAAGCAGCAGCCTAATTTGTGTAGTAGGCAGAAAAAAGCAGATTTTTAGCGTCGCATGGAATTGTGGTCGTGCGCATTTGTATGCGCAGTTTTCATAATGTGGTAAATTCGCCTAGCAGTAAACGACTTGATTTATGAAATCTGATAGCAAAAACTTGTGTCATATAATTAATTTACCTGCATGTCAATGAGACGCACATGTTTAACATCTGTCACCTGTGATTGCCCTTTAACCCCTGGTCTTGGCTACTTTAATATATAATATATTGCTTTTTCGCAGTTCCACTCATGGTAAGAATCGTTCCTTACTGGCTTAAGGCCTTACGCTGACAGCTCACTAGTCGCTGCGAGTAATAACTGTGCTTGATATATAATTTGTGCTATTTACTGTAGTTCTATTTCACTACTTGCTTTAATGCCCGCAGCAATCCCTACCTTGCAGGTACCCTAGTTTAATAATTGTTTATTGTATATATTCTACTAGAAATTGATAGCCACCTGTCTCGATTAGCCCCTATGGTTACTTACGGGTGGCTATGCACATAATTCTTTTGTTTTATAATGCTTAATGTAGAAAATTGTTGTATCTTGTATTTATAATGTGTGTGCAAAATTATATTATTCTATTTAGTCCGAGGGCGTGTAGGGTTTAGCACCCGCCAAATATTTGTTCATTTATTGGTAAATTTCTAGGTAATTTAAGTTGATTTTCAGGTAAATTATAACAGCATTGGCAGGCAAACGTGGAAGTTAAAATGGAAGTATTTAATAATAATATTTTCTCGGAGGAGCATTCCCCCGAACCCGCCTAGTAGATTTAGCCCCGTTTCCCACAACGCTTTCGAAAGAAACACCTGCTATTTGAATGTACTCATGAGAAACACACAAAATTTCAAAAGCTGCTTTTAAATAACGTAATAAGTAATTTAAAAAATCGTTACACCCTCCCCCCCCCCCAACGACAAAGTCTTTGCTACGTTCCTGAATAAATAGATAAATAACCTGTTCTCTGCAGCTCGTGTTTGTAAGGACCATTGGCGGGAAGAGACATGGATCCTAAGAATGAAGAATACCTGTCGCTCAACCTTTGTCAGTTTTAACTGTCCCTTGACTCGTCTTGACTTTGGCATTTTTACCTTTTTTCTGACTCATCCAACTGAGTTTTTCACCCCTTCAGTTTGATCGATCAATATCAAAAGTGCTTAGTACAAATTATTCATGTGATGCTCGTAATTGCCTAAAACGTTTATACCACAACCTAAGTGCTGTTCATTTTTTCTTGACCCAACTTTGTTTATCTTGTATTTTTTCCTGAGCTAATCATTTCCTCCGCTAACATTGCCATCATTGTTTCGCATTCGCATATATAGCATACCGTCTAACCTCCTTGTCTGTATATATGTTTAGGATTGTACAAAAGAGATGGAAGAAATTCAAGAACAAATTAAATTGGTTCATAAACTTACACAAGAATTGACACACTATCTTTGCGAAGATGAAAGCAAGATAAAACTAGATGATTTATTAAACACTTTCAAGACTTTCTGTCTCAACTTAGATCAAGCTGCTGAAGTAAGGAGATGGTGTGCAACTTTTCTAGATTACTGTTTTCGCAAAATTTATCGAGTGTGCACGATCAGTTGATGCAGTTGAGATGTATTGCCCGCTATGTTTGGCGTTGACCACAATCTAGTGGCCGAAAGTTTGTCAAAAATAAAAATAAATTTGGTCAGTAGCCGTTTCCAATCATAATCCAATAATTAAAACGAAATTTTGGTAAAAACTGACGAACGAAAAAAAATATTAGATGTTTGTTACGATACTGAATGTTTGAAGGTTTAAAAAGTCGTATTTTTATCAAGTATATATTTCCAAGCTATAACAAATGTCTCGTCGTTTGTAGTTAATCCAGTGTAATTATCTCTTTGAAGGATAATGAGAAACGACGAGCACAGGAAGCGAAACAAGCCAAAGCAGAGAAAAACAACAAGAAAAAGCGAAAAGACGGAGTAAGAACGACATTAAAATTCCAAGAAGATGAATGTATTGTTGATAAACTTCTAAGTGAAATACGTCAAGGATTTCCTTTGAAGAAACGACGAAGAACGAGTGTTGATAGTGCGAAAGATACTGTAGAAAGTATTTCCACTCAAACTTCGAATGAAGGTGTTGTAATAATTCTTTAGTTACTTTCATCATATTGTTCAAGTCTAATGCTGTTCACTCTTTCGTATTGTTTGGATAGAACCGATAGAACGACATATCTGTAACCGGAAGTATGAATTCCATCTAGTCAGGATCCAAGGATCGAAATATTTCATCGCCGGTTTAGACAATTGTATTATAACCCAAAATATTTCCTTCTTACCACAGAAATGTCAAAGGAAATGTTTTTTTGCATTAAAATATTAATTTTAAACGATATTCTTCGTTAAATGTTTGGGTAGTATAACGAAATGTGAGCTACGTTCCCGAAAATTATTATAAACTAAGCTAAGCTTGACACCAAAGGCAATCACTTCGTATTACTTCATTAAATTGCTTCGTACGGTGTAGCAACGTGATGAGTGATGACTTGAAATTTAGTTTCATAAAGGTCCAACATTTTCCAAAACAACTCTACCCCCCCCCCATAGTGGTGAGTTGTACTTTCGACCCCACATAGCCGGCTAAATTAGCCATACCATCCACTCACTTATTGTTTTCATTAATTTGATAATTTATGCAAAGTCCTATTTACTTCTAATCTATGTTAATCTATTTTTTATTTTAGGAAACGTTTCTGAAATGAATGATGCGTAATGCATGTTAGAATTTAAATACCAATGTTCAATAAAAATGACAAAGCTAGTGCACTATAAATGTAAATCTGTTGATCGAAAATTAAACTACAGTATTTACGATTTCATTAATACATACAAATCGTGTAATTACATACCACAGTGTAAATAGAGGAGATATATATATATATATACATCCAATACTATTCGATTAAATACATAATTGCATGAAATGGCCAATTTGGAATGCACTTATATTCATTATATAGTTAGTAATGTAAATGCCATGCTTAAGAATTCAGGATAAAAATGTCTGTATTGTAACTGTAAAATAATCTTTTATAAAAATCAAAAACACGTATGACGTGAAAAACAGTTTCTCAAAGGAATTGACTATTGATTGTAAATGTAGTATGGTCATAATTCAATTGCTTTCCGCGCCTTTGAGAGTGCCTTAATTCCATTACTGCATGAGCATCTTATCATTTCTCTTCATCCAGATTTTCTCTTATATCTTCCTTCCATACCCTTTTTAGATCGCTGATTTTCTTTATCCGCGCGCATTTTTATTGCCCTTTCAGGGTTCGGAAAAATACATTTGAAACTCTTAAATACTGGGCCAGATTATATGTGAAACCCATAGCTCAGTGGTCAAACCATTCAATAAGATGCAGTATATTTATAAATAATGAGCGTCAGTTATTGAAAAACTTCGAAGATTACTTTTAAGTCAAAGTGGAAAAGTAAATGCAGAAATAGATAAAATGCTTGAAGCAGATATAACTGGAAAAAGTTCCAGAAGCTAGTCCGAGAATCTACGATGTTAAATCCTGGCACCCTGGCCGCCATGTTGAATTTAATTCCTCCGAAGCCTGATAGCTACATCAATATACCATTTTACCTCGATTTCCATTCGATTTAGTGAATTTTTCCACCAACAAGTATTTTAGGACAAATTGGTGGAATTTTTCCACTAACAAGTATTTTAAGAGCCAACGCCGTTCCAGGCGTAAGCCCGCGGGGCGAGGGTACTAATTCTCCCCGCCCAGCTATTTACACCCGGGGAAACGAAAGCATTAGCGAAGTCTAAAGTTCATCAATGATCGCGGGCGTGACCAACGATCTTGAGTGGGTGGTCACCCTCACTGATCTCAAAAATATGGCTGATTGCTTCAAAACATTTTACGAAGCGTTTCAACTTAAATTTTAAATCAAAGCTCACAAAACGCAAAATAATATACCTACAGTATTTCGAAAATTTATTGTGGTATAGTTAAAAGTACGAATCTTTCAACTATTTTTCCCTTTTGTACAAAAAATATGA